TGTGGGTATGTGTGTGCCAGCCCTGCCCACAGAGTCCCCCCCAGCTCCAGGCATGCCAGCCCACCCCATTAAACACTGCCCATCCCTCCTGGCACAGCGGGTGAGGACGCCAAGATCCGGCTGTGGCGCATCCCTGAGGGAGGGCTGCAGGAGACCCTGCAGGAGCCTGAAGCTGTTCTCCGAGGTGAGGGGACCACTGAGCACCCCACACTGGGGACAAACAGTCTGGTGGCACCCACAGCTGGGGACAGCCACACACTGCTGAACCTCACCAGGTCACACGGAGAAGATTTACTCCATCCGCTTCCACCCCACGGCATCCGATCTCCTGGTCTCCTCCTCCTACGACATGACCGTGCGGATCTGGGAGCTGAGCACAGGGCAGGAAGTCTTGTGCCTGCAGGGACACACGGATCAGGTAAGGGATGACAAATCCAGGGACACCCGAGAGGCAGCTTTGGGACATTTGCACAACATCTATCTCTCCAGATTTTCAGCATGGCTTGGAGCCCGGATGGGAAGAAGCTGGCAACGGTGAGCAAAGATGGACGGATACGGCTCTACGAGCCACGGCGCGGCTCTCAGCCTCAACAGGTACAATCCCAGCACCGGGGACAGGCTGGAGAGCTGGGGCTGTGGGCAGGAAACCCTCCCATGGGTGCATGACTGCGCCCCCAGCTCTCTCAGAGCAGGCAGGGTGACCTTCATCCCACACAGGAGGGCCCAGGTCCCGAGGGGGGACGCGGAGCGCGCCTGGTTTGGGTTTGTGGTGGTGACTACATCCTGGTGTCCGGCTTTGACAGGTAAGGAGGGGACACAGGGCAGGGCAGGGGTCCCTGAGGACACTGCTTGCTCTCACTGTCATCTCCCCACAGCCGCAGCGAGAGGAGGATCCTCCTGTACCGGGCACAGGCCCTGTCTGAAGGACCTTTGTCTGTCCTTGGTCTGGACGTGGCCCCTTCCACCCTCCTGCCCTTTTATGATGAGGACACCAGTGTTGTCTTCCTCACCGGCAAGGTGAGGGCTTGCCCTCCAAAAAACTGTGGGGCTCCCTGCCTACAGCACCCCACAGTGTCCATGTCCCCTGACAGCCCCTGTCTCACTCCATCCCCAGGGTGATACCAGAGTCTTCCTCTATGAAGTGAGCCCCGAGCCCCCCTACTTCCTCGAGTGCAACAGCTTCACCTCCAATGAACCCCACAAGGTAAGGCGGGATATGCTGCCTGTCCCTGACCCCCTACCTGTGGTGCCAGACCCACTCACACCCGCACCCCTCCAGGGCTTTGTCTTCCTGCCCAAAACGGCGTGCGAGGTGCGGGACGTGGAGTTTGCACGGGCGTTGCGCCTGGGGCAGAGCAGCCTGGAGCCCGTGGCTTTCAATGTACCACGCGTCAAGGTGGGTGACAGGGGGGGCCGGCC